AAGGTCCCTCATGTGGCCGAGAACAATTAAAATCAGATAACTGACATACGTTGAAAGAAGGACATAGTATGGTGGATCTCTGTCTTCAGGATGAAGGACTGGGGTATTGGGGATATGGGAAGAAAAGCGCCGGTGAGCTTCGTTGGAGCAGTGCCCGAATTCTGTATGAACAGTGGTATGGACCTGCTCCGAAGTCGGTGGTTCTACGGGAAACGCGAGACCATGGCTGTTCTCCGCGTCTGCCTGGGTCAAAAGCGTGTCTGCCGTCGAGTTCGTGAAGGAGGAGGACAACGACAGTGCCGGTGTCGACATCGGTGTTGGTGATGAGCTCTTGTGCGCGTTTCTAGTCTTCGTATCTACTTGAGAAAGCGCAGACAAATAAGAGGCAGCAGACGTCAGAGGCGACGGCGAAGTTCGTTTTTTGAATACGGACGACGGCGAGTTGCTTTGAGGGGCCATTGGGGAAGTTGGACGCGGAGAGCCAGCAGCCGGTATTATGTGACAGAGTGGAGGCGGAAAGCGAGCCGCGCTAAGTATGTATAGCCAAAAAAATAAGCCCGAGCTACTTTGATTTTGATTCGACGCTCGTAATAGCGATTTGCTAATCATTACCGCTTATTCCCGCTCAGGATGTAAGGATGTGCAAGGGCGCATCCAGTACATAGTGGGTCCTCAAGCTCGAGGCTTTAACAAAGTCCTGAATATATTTATATACCCATATTGAATATTAAATGTCCGTATGTAAAATCAAGCAAGCACTTCAGATCTACTATGTATGTACTATGTACATACATTCACCTCAGAAAAAATCCATCACGACAGTCCCAAAGCTTTCCTCATCGCCTGATAATTAGGTGACCCAACTCCAGTGACTGGATCCCAACCTAGAGAATATGGATATGAATATGATATACATAGATATACATGAGACACCGTAGATAAGAATGAACAATAACCCGTACCTTTAAGAGCTGGAAAACCAGTTGTACCACATCCCGGATTGCTTCCTGTTAAAATGGAACGGGTGTGCGGAGTAATCAAAGCTTGAATCGAACTACGCACCATCTGTAATATCATTAAACGCCTCCGGATGCGCATAAATCCACGGATTCATAAACCCCATCGGCGCCTTTCCCTTCCCCAACAACTCATCATTCAACAGCGCCACGACAGACGCGAAAATCGGTGACGACGCCGACGTCCCCGCCACCGGTGTGACCGCCCCAGCCTGAACGATCTGGATCTTATCCCCCTGCGCCGAGACGTCCGGGAACCCGCGTCCGGAGCGGTTGAATCTGCCTTTGTACAGGTCATCCCCGATGGCGGCGAGGTACGTCGCGACGGCGGGTTGTTGCCAGGACGGAGGGGTGAAGTAGTTGGAGAAACCCCCTGCGGAGAGGTCGGCGCCTTTTTCGGGGATGTTGGCGGTGGCGCCTACTAGTGTTGCACTGGGAATGTAGTTGTTAGGACTATGTGGAGTGGGGGATGAGGGAAGGCTTACTATGGGCAAGTCGGCCAGGCGGCTAAGAACGGTTCATCATCACAATCTTCTCCTGGTGAGGAGGCGACCCCGCCGTCTCCGGTAGCATACAAAATCGTCACCCCACGAGCGGTGAGTTTCATAAACGCGTCGCACATCGCACTATGTACCAATCCAAAGTAAAACAAAACAAACGAATCAAAACCTTGAACCACCGGAACCAAAGGAAAAGAAAACACAACATACAAAGTCAACTCTCTCGACAACCCACTCTCATCCCCCGCGACTCCGTAACTCGTCGTCAACACCAACGGGGGATTGGTTTCCGCCAATAGATCATTCACGATATCAAGGAACCCCCCGTCGTCTCCATCGTGTGTGTCATCACCCACATCGACAAAAGTCGTTGGGATACCGTTTGCTAGGCCGACAGTGTATTGGATGTCCAGGTCCTATATACGTTTGAAGCACGATTGATTTATTTATTTAGATCGAGGATCGAGGTGGCACCGGATATACGGGGAGGAATGAAAGAGGGAACGGAACACTCACCGCTTCGATACCAGAATCCGAAAGCGTCTGGTTATTCGTGGCGTTATCCAGAAGCTCCGTCGCGAAAGTGTCGGAAGACAAATCTGGTCTGAATAGTTTCAGGAAACTTGCCAAGTCGGCCTATACATACATACAACAATACACATCCATGAGCCCTCCCCTCAACCAAAGTACACCAGGTGAGAAAATACGAACCTTATTAGCATCTTGTCCCGAAAAAGCCGACACTGCAATAACGATAGGTAACAAGTCCTCGAATCTCAGTTATGTACATATGTACTCACCTCCGATAGTACTATTAGTCGTCTTAATAACCCCCGTGGGGAGCCCATACAGCGTCTGCAGACACGCTGGAGTCACCGTGTCGTTGCATTTCGAGAAACTTGCTGTGGAGGTGGGGATTGCTGCACTTGAAGAAGAGGATGAGGAAGAGGCGGCTTTGTTGTCGACATCTGCTTGGGGTGTGATCGCGTGTGCGGAGGAGCTTGATCTGTGGTGTCCGCTGAGGGAGATCACCCTGGGACCAGCGGAGTGGTAGAATCTGTGTACCAAGGAGTATGAGTATGAGCATGAGTTAGGGTATCAAGGTTAAACCCCCCAACTCACGAAGTCGTCGGATGTATCGCCCTGATATGCTCCCCCAGCTCACTCGGCACGCTATACTCCAACGTCCTCACCGACTGCTTCCCGCTCGCTGTGTGTTCATACACGTTATACGTCGCGTTGAGCATGGAATTCGCCGTCCCCACTGAGACGTTGAATTTTATCCAGTCCCCGGAGACGGTGGTGGAGTCCGGTGTGATGTTGTTTGAGGAGAGCCATGTGCAGACGGAGTAGAGGGCGTCGCGGGAGGGGGCGGCGTAGTATTGGACCTGGTTTGGAAGTGAATAAATAATATAAATAATAATCACCACCCCAGAAATAAATAACGATACGTAGTACTTACATCTTCCCTACTCAACCACCTCCCATACGCCTCACTCCCCGGATCACTAGCCTTGTTCAACGCGTCCTCCAGGCCCGTGCGGTTCCCCATGGTGAGACTGATCCGCATTTGGATCATCGAGTTGAAATCCGCGATGGAGACGGGGGTGTAGCCTTTGGGCACGGCTGACCGACGATTGTGGACGGACATGGGATTTGCGCGGGAGTTGGGTGCGCGGGGGTTGGGAGTGATAGATGCACCGTAGGTGACTGCGATAGAAGCGAGTGAAAGTATCACTTGCAGTGTATAACGCCACCTAGAAGGGACCATGGTCGGGTACGCAATAAAGGGTAAGAGGGTAAGGGAACAGACAAAAGGGACCCCACTAAAATCACTTTATATACCAACCCGGTCGACTGTCTGTCACCATCCTGCACCCCTAACCAGAGAAAAATGAATTGTGTTGACGAAACACAGCGCCTGAAGAGCGCTCTAAACAACGCGTGGGCGTAGCGATGATTTGCGGTTGATTGCAGTGCAATTGTTCGTAAATGATATGCATCTCGACATCTGGGATTCCACACACAGAAAAGGCATTGAGAAACATACATATTATGGATGGGTGGGTGAGGAAATTTGTACAAAGACTCGGAATTGCGCTTTTGGAAAAGTATAATCACCGTTGCTGCTTGACACGAGTTTTTCGTCTCCACTGATAAGCATCCGATCAGGGATTTAGCACTGCTTGTAGTAACCAGGACGCTCAAGTCCGTTTGTAAGAATTGGAATCCAAGGCAAGTCAGTAGACGATGTATTTCCAGAAACAACAAATGACAACCCGAATTGGCAAGGAATTCAAATCAAACAAGCCAAAACATGCGTTTACAGTAGCGGGCGGTCAAACAAACTTGATTACAATAAGATACAAGTCCGTGAACATAAGAAACATATCGTGCATGGATGAATATCAATGCTCTCAGATGCAACACGGGATAATGAAGCAACATCCGCCATCCTACACGCATGTAAACACATCAACTAACCAACAAACAAACATCGCTGCTCACCGGACACGGAATACATCCACCCCTCAATCTCTGCACTCGTTGATTCCTATCACGCTGTTCTCGCTCGTCTACGCTGATCATCGACATGGAATGAGTCACTGAGGGCTGTGTAACAATAGGCGCAGCAGGTGATATTATTGGTGAGGAAGCTTTTCTGGTTAAATGCGCTGAGGGCGGGTAAGCTGGGGTAGTTGAAGACATGGTAATGACAAGGCTGGTACTACTAAGTGAGAATGGGTAACAGGTTTATAAGTGGTTCAATTGGAGTCATGACGTCAGGAGTAGCGCAGACGCGTCACACACTACTACTATCACTTGGCTTCTCCAACGAGAGCTTCTACTATTTCTACCGCCCGTTTGAATTGCGCTTTCTGCTCTGGTGTGGGTTGTACAGTGCTCGAGCTATAGATAAAGATTAGATTAGATATACCAAATAGATAGTAACACACCCCGGTTGCCCAGTAACACCCCCCATCCCCCCATTCATCCACTGCAAATCATCACTTCCCCAAAAAATACTAGTATCCAATCCATAGATATCCTCCGACCCACGCGGCTCCTCCGTCGGCAACTCTTTCAATATCCCATGAAGCTCGTCGATAAGCCCTTCCACCGACACAGAGCCCAACGCAGTTACTTTCAGTGTACCCAACGCCAGTGTCTTGGGAGCGAAGCTTTGCAGATCGGGAGTTCCATCGGGTCGGGAGGCGGAGGTGATGTTGAGCGAGTCGGAATCGACTGGGCGGGTGATCGTTGCGATGAACGAAGGCGTGGGTGGCGCGAAGCCGCCGGTTATCCCTGTGAAATACCAGTGAGCATTATAGCTACAAGTAGATCAGCTGTCGATACCTTTCTGCAATCGAAGAGAGTATTCACTGGGGGCCATGTTTGTTGCTAATCAAAGTCGTCTTGATCCCTTATATACATACACGGATCAATTATCAATCTCAACCCATCTACCACCTCTGTATACAACTCCAATGTGGTGTAGTGGCCAACATTGCTGTCTTTCATAGAGCAGCCGCCAAAATGAATATAATTTGCACAGCAGCCCGGGGTTCGATTCCCCGCATTGGAATTTTTATTATCCCATGTATGTTTTTTTCTTTTTTTCTTTTTTTCTTTTGTTTTTTTTTCGTCCTTGCTGTGTACAGTGTACACAGAATGAATTCAAAAATACACACCTTCCTGTCACGCATTTCTTGCTTGGGCTTTATGGGCTTATGGGCTTATGGACTCCCAACTTCCGAGGGATCAACAGATCGAAGAAAACTTGCAATGGCAATGGTCGGGATCACGGAGCCCCCAACCATGTGTTAGTTACGATTAAGTACCCAGAACCGTGAAGAAATCTTCTTCTTCTTCTTCTACATAACATAACAAAATTCATTTTTTTTCTGCGAAACGGGATGACGGACGACGGACGGACGACTTCTTGTGTACCATGTACATGTACTAGGGGGGTCTGGACATTCGAGCGGTCATACAGCATACCAACAACAACTTCCCAACCCTCACCTCCACCTTCCCCTTGCGACAAAGATTCCGTTGTAAAAAGTGATTGATTATTTGAGTTGAGCGAAGAGTTTGGGTGCGGCGCATTCTTCGGCGCAGTGCATCATGCTGAGTGGGTGAAGGAAGGAGGGAGGAGGAGGAGGAGAGAGGAAGGAAGGAGGAGGAAGGAGGGCTGAGATGAGTACCGCGGGGGAATATAAGATATACGCAGGGAGCGGACGTACTGGACTGATGGCAGACGAGCGAAACGAGTTGCGTAGGATGATGGCGAGCGCATCAACAAAACCGAGACGCGATACGACCATAAGCATATAAGGGAGAAGGAGGAAGAAGAAGTCATCCGGAAAAGTCAGAACGGCTGTTTCGACAAATATCAAAAGGAGAAACAACACCGGGACGTACACCTATAGAAACAACAATAACAATCAGCCCCACCATGAATTACTCAAGTTAAGAAAAAGAGTCGCCAACACAAAACAACACGTACATTTCCTCTACACAATCCTCTCCTTTGAACCCCTCACCGGCTTGCACTTTTTCCTGACAGTGCTCAAAGTGCTTTAACATCGGTGCGCATTTGGCGGAGTTTTGACATTCATCTCGGATGGCGGGGTGGGGCTAGGAGGAAAAGCGAGGGTTAGGAGGAAAAGCGAGGGTTAGGAAAAGAAGAAGAAGAATAACGATGGGTGGGTGAATGTTATTCGTTGGAGGAAAGGCGTGGGGGGTCTGTCTGTCTGTCTTGTTGTAAAACAGAGAGAGAGCAAAAGCTCGATAGAGATATGTATGTATATGAAAGAAAGAAAGAAAAGGGCGTCAAATGTGTAAAGAATACACAGTACATACATCTTCAGGCTCTTCTTCCTCCTCCTCCTCCTCTTTCTCCTCCTCCTCAGACTCTTTAACCTCGTCTACAGGTTTTTCCTCCACTGGAGCCTCGGCTTGGATAGTCGGGAGGAAAGAGGAAAAGAAGGATGTTAGGGAGCTCATCGTTGTTTGCGACAGGGTAATGGTAATGCAATGCTTTTTGACGGAATGCTGATAACTGCTAAAGCAGGACTAAAGTTGAGAGAAGCGCCGGCGGTGAATTTCGGAACGAGGGCGTGGGATGTTTGGGGGCGCTTGTTGTTGTTGGACAGATGTCATCGTCAGAAATCTTGCCGTCATGGTTCAAACCATGTATGCATGCATTATGCATTATATGATTGAGAAACTCAGAAAGGGGTATGTACATGTTTGCGGCAAGAGAGAGTCGTTGATGGATATCAATACATAAAGGTGAAGATATCAAACAATGGAAGAAATATGTAACATGCATTCCCACCGCTCCCCGTTTATGTTTTTGTTTCTTCTTCTTCAACTTAGCTCTTCACTACTAACAGCTACTAACCTCATCAGTCTTTACTTTTCTAGTCATAAAAGCTACCTCTCTCGTTCTCACCATCCACATTCTCAAAAAGAGAAGTATGTACCTCGTGATGCGAATGCGAATGCAGCAGTGCACCGTTCCAGCCTTCCAGGTCAAGGTAGAGGTGGCAGTGGCAGCCACACTACTACACTACAATGCAGATTAAATTCGAAGAGATCTGAGCTTGATGGTGGCGGCGGTGGACGCGATATACCAGGACGTGCACATGGAGGCACATGGGTGTTGTATCATCACCTTCTCGTCATTCGGTTCCATTTCCGAGCCTTTGCCTTTTTTGGTATCGACCGCCCATCTCCCCTTCAACTATCTTTCTCTTCGACTTCAGATGACTTCTTCTTTACTTCCGTTTATTCTATCGACTTCTAAAATGACTTCATTATTCTTTCTAGCCAGTTCGGTGAGGTTCTACGGAGTCCTTATGACTCTGCGGAATTTCACAACAGACCTTATTTGTGTACTAAAGTCCTATCTTCGTATCTCTGGCGGATTTCTACGGTACCGACTCTAGATAGCTCAAAGTAGTATAAATTATCGTAGGAACTCGAGAATAAAGTCCAGAATTTTCTCGCCTATTTGGTTGCTCGACCGGATTCAGCCCGAACTAAATAGACGAATACTTCACTTTGCAAAGTGAAGGGTCTACAAAGCTTGCCCTTGATACAGGTTATCTTCGAGACTGGGATTCTTGACTGTAAGTGTTTCTACAGCTGTTAACGATATCTACGAGCTCAAGGTTACCTCTCTTTAGAGAACCATTATATTCTAGTCGCCGACAATTATCACACCAAATGCCTAAAATCTCATTTGTCTTTTTCACTATACTCATACACAATGCCCGATGTTACTCTCGAACAACTCCAGTCAGTCCTATCTACAGAAGCATTCTCTGTGATTGCACCACTCTTCGAAAATCTTGCTTCGAGACTCGCAGCAAGTGAAGGAAGGGTTGCCGACTTGCAAACAGCTCAAGTCAACACTCAGCAACTCTCGAACCTCTTTCGTGAAGCAATTTCAGAAATTACTTTCCCTCCTCCACCACCATCTAACCCTCATACTGCTACAGCTCGAGCACCATTACGAACAGAACTCCCTATCTTCCGCGGCCGTCCAGATGAAAATGTTAGTGCCTTTATTTCCATTGCACAAGACTTGCTAAAGGCTACGCACATTGCTCAGGAAGATTGGGGAGTCATCGTAAGTGGTTGCTTCCGTGATACTGCTCAAACTTGGTACTTAGCCAAGAAGCAGGACAACGGAGACAAGCCCCTCGAATGGAACCATCTAGAACGGGAACTTTGTACTCAATTCGACCATCCAGCACGAACAGATGAACTTCGAAACAGTTTGTCCCGATGCAATTTCCGAGGTAATGTTTCTGAATTCATTCCTCGCTTTCAAAAGCTTGAAATGCAGTTATCTCCTACAGATATGACCTTTGGAGATCGTAAGTTCAACTTCTTTCGGAGTCTTCCTCCTGAACTTTGTTTCCATATCTCTGACTCAAATCCCTCTTCGATGGCTGATGTTTATGAAGCTGCTCGAGTCTGGGAAAGGTATCGCCGTACCTCTGGACATATCAATGCTGCACGAACAAGTGACCCTCGACGACGAACCAATAATAACAATACTTCCTCCACCTCTTCTTCTATGTTCCCTTCTACCCCATTGGCTAACACCTCACCCAGCTCCTATGGATCTCGATACTTTCACCCCTCGCACTTCTTCATCTAACAGAGCTAACTTGCGCTGCTTCAACTGTGACAAACTTGGCCATTTCTCAAAGGACTGTCGTCTTCCACGAAGGAAGAAGAATGGTCCTCCGCTGCCGAGTCACAGTCATCCGAACAGACCCCAACATTCAATGTTCCATATTTCCATGGGACGTAGTCGAAATTCGCCCTTAAGCTCTCGAAAGTCTTCCCTTCTTGGACGAATCTCAGGTCAATTCAGAAAGCAAGAAGCTTCTAAAGAAGAGGTCAATCAATTCTTAGGTTCTATTCCGACAAGGCCGTTGGAAGCTCATGTCTTGAGCGTTGACCTTGAAGGATCTCCAGAACCTACCTTGCCTGTATATTCCGCTGTAATAGGTGGAATCCGCTCTCGTTTTTCTCGAAAAAATAAGAAGAAGAATGAAAAGGGCAAGGAAAAGGGATCTAAAAGGGTAGTTGATTGTATCTTCGACACTGGAGCGCGCGACAACTATGTCAATGGTCGCGTTCTTAGGGACCTTGACAATGTCCAAATTTTTCCACTCGACCCTCCTCGCGAAATCTTCGGTGCTGGTCATACTTCGACTGCTTCATTTGCTCGTTTTACATTGACTATTGGTTCTATGGAAGAAGAGACGTTAGCTTATGTTCTAGATCAGAGCACGGGTTTTCGGTATGATCTTCTTCTCGGACGAACCTTTCTTGCAAAACACGATGTTCAATTCAACTGGCAGGAGCACACCCTCGAGTTGGTTGACCCGCGTACTCGGGGGGTGGTCAAAGTTCAAGCGTGTCGTTGCCCAAATGATCCCAAGGAAACGCAGGAACTCTACTCATTGAAGGTTAGCAAAAATGAAGATGGGTATGTTGATCTTCCTGATGAACAGTATACATACTCACCGGATTCAAATACTGCTAATATTAGTGAGCTCAATGACGACGACAATGGTGATAGCAATGATAAGGAACTCCCTTCTCCCCCTTCAACTCCTATTCCAACTTCTACGGTTACAACAACTGTTAGCAATAAAGAAGACGCCGACACAGAACTCAAGAAAGGCTCATTTGGTGATAAACTAAGAACCCTGGCCATGAAGATGTTTCCGAAATGTTTTCGGGAAAAAGTAGGTTACCCACCTCTCAGGCGATGGGTACATACAATTGACACTGGCAATGCACAGCCAATTCGTATACGTGGACGCCCTCATTCTCCCCGCGAGAACCTCGAAATCAAAAACTTTTTGGAGAATGGTATCCAGGATGGAGTTATTGAACGTTCCGACTCTCCTTGGTCTGCACCAATTCTCCTCATTCCAAAAAAAGATGGTACGCTTCGTCCCTGTGTGGATCTCAGAGCTCTTAACAATCTAACTCGAAAAAATGCCTACCCCTTGCCGCGAATAGATGAATGCTACGTCAATCTCAACA